ACATAAAGATGATTTGAGGCTCTAGTCCTAAAGCTTGGACCCTAAGAACCAGTTTTGTTCTGTACTTCACCTGTTTAATATAAAGCGTGTGGATACTCATGTCAGAGCTCCAGGTTTGAATCATGGCTCTGTCATATTGTGAAGATACAAGACAAAGAAAGGCAATTAGTGCCCTTCATTTTTCCCAACTGTAGAATGACGAAAGATGACATATAAACCATAGGGTTGGTCTGATGATGATGCTGTAATCCAGCACTTATCTCCCTGACTGGAGCACAGCACACACTTAAGATGACTGTGGCTCTGACGGAAGCAGTTGCCTGGCTGCACTTGGAGAGGCACAGTGAATGACTAGGACTGTTTTGCTCATTTTAGTTCTCAGAGCCCAGAACTGTGCCTATTGCACAGCAGTCACCCACTCTGTCCTCCTCTGGTTCTTGAGTAACTATTTTCTGCATCAGTCATTTGATGCTTTCTCCCCTTTATTGTTGTGTAGGATGCATCACTCATTGTTTCGTAATCGTGCCTTGCCTATTGCTCAAGTTAGAAGCATCATAAAGACAGAAGATGTGCCTGATGTGCCTGCTGTCCCCACACAAAAGGGCTTTTCATGCTTCTTCCAACAAGTGGACGCCTCCCTACGCCTCGAAATACAGCAGGTTTGGCCCTCTTAGAAAACACAGACTGGCACGCAATACCTTGCTCCACATCCTGCATAACCACTGCCTTGTGGACCCTGTTCCAAGCAATTGTACCAGAAAATAAATATGAAACTGTGGATTTTTCTTGGTAATAGAACCACTTCCTTCAGTGAGTCTCAATGGTGCATGACAATGGGTCTACTGTTAAATATTTGAGGAGTTTCTCTTCGAAAAGGGGGTTAGGGATCCCTTCTTTTCAGTGTTCATTCAGTGGTGTAGATACTCCCACCGTATCTCACTTCAAACTACCAATGGGCTGTCACTGAACATAAAGCCAGCAAGAGTTATATACAGTCTGTTCTTATGAACTGGCAGGAACAGGCTCAGAACTGTCATTGGTTAAGTAACTGGGATCTCCAGGACAATGTATGTGTGCAGTGAAGCTTCCCAGATAATTGGGAGTTTCCTTTGGACTTCTAACCACCTCACCTTTCAAGGAAAGCTGTCTTGCTTAATATGCAGTAATTACAACAAACTACAGGAATTTGCAGTGAGGGCTTCGGGACATTTGTTGTAAAGTTTCCATCCAAGTACTATAAGTCAGAAGATATAAAATGTTATGAGTGGTATGTTCTTGGTCAGTGGTTCTCAACCCGCGGGTCACAACCCTTTTCACTGGATTAACCTAAGACCTGCTGCATATCAGATATTTACATTATGATTCATAAAAACATTAGTTATGAATTAGCAATGAAAATAATTTTATGGTTGGGGGTTATCCCAACATGAGGAACTGTATTAAAGGGTCACAGCATTAAGAAGGTTGAGAACCACTGTTCTGAATGGCAACTACGGTCTTTATAGCAAATATTTCTACTGCCGTGGTCCAGCTGAAAATTTCTCACTCAGATAGATTTTAAACAATCCCATTAAGCTGGGCGTTGGTGGCGCACGCCTTTAATCCCAGCACTTGGGAGTCAGAGGCAGGCGGATCTCTGTGAGTTCGAGGCCAGCCTGGTCTACAAGAGCTAGTTCCAGGACAGCCTCCAAAGCCACAGAGAAACCTTGTCTCGAAAAACCAAAAAAAAAACAAAAAAACAAAAAAACAAAACAAACAAAAAAAAACCAATCCCATTATTAAATGGTTTCACACTGGATCAGTACTTACTGATGAAGCATGAATTGAGCAATCTAAAGTTACTTTTTTATTATTTTCCAGCAAATATATGCATCAGTTCCTTCAATCCTTTGGTCTGTCTTATGAGACAGATTCTGCATGTTTTATAGGTAAGGAAATGGAAGTATAGGGAGTGAGACCAGAGAAATCACAGAGGGTCATCCAGGGGCTTGATGGAAGCCTGGGATTTCAGCTACCTTCATGTGACAAGATGTAGGGGACTGAAGAGTGTCACTAGATTCTCACTCTGTGATGTGATAGTGTAGAAAGAACCAGATGGGCAGGCAGTGGTGGTGTGTGCCCACTGTGCCCTCTTTCACCTGCCTTTAACTCTCCATGGGGAGGCTGTGCACATCAGGAACTGTGAGATTCTCTTGGGAGAAGCTTGTCCTCAGTTGCCTCAAGATCCAGAACAGAAGATCAAATTTGCACTCGCCCCCTAAAACCTGCTCTTGCAACCTGCTCTTGCAACCTGATCTTACCACACCACACATGGCATAGGACACTGATGATGTCCTAACAGCCTTCCTCCCCTTTCCCACAATAACAGTAGTTCTGAAGACAGGGTTAGCAAGACCCATATTCCATGGCTTCCCTTACATTTTGTTGTGGCCAGTCAGCTACTTTCCAAATGGGTATGAGAAGTGAAGTGTGTAATTTCTGGGATATGTTTCAAAAATGGAAATGCAGATGCTAGAGAGATACCTCAGTGGTTAAGAGCAGACTGATCTACCAGAGGACCTGAGTTTAATTCCCCTCATCCACAAGGTAATTCACAACCATCTGTGCCGCACCTGCTGCGCAGCCTGTATCCGAGAATGTGCCGAGGGTGTCGGGATTGATGACACATAGACCAGTCAACGATGTAAAGAAAACTTTAAGCAGGCCCCAAAAAGGCTCAAGAAAACTTCCCAAGAAAGGCTTCCCTCCAGAAAGGCTTCTGCTCCCTGCCTTACCCCTGGCTGGTTCTGCTCTGACACCAGAGACTGACTTGGGTGTGTCAGAAGAGGTGGTTAGTCTTTGGAAAAGATCAAGGTCAGGGTGGTTCCCGTGGGCAAGCCCTTTTCAGGAACTTATTGCCCTGGGAATAATTGTACTGTTTTTAGTAAACATTGTCTTACAGCTGCCTGGTCCCAGGCTGATGGGGAAATGAGTCTCTGGCCAAGGTCTGTTGTCCCCACACATCTGTAAGTCTATTTCTAGGAGATTTGATGCACTTTCTGGCCTCTGAGCATGCAAGTGGTACAGAGATGTATATGTAAGTAAAATACACATACATACAAATTTTTTTAAGGAAAAGCATATCCCACTTGCTATATTCTTGGACCGTATGGTGTAGTTGTAAATTTGGAGACATGCATTGAAGTCTTACTCCTGACAACTGTGAAGAACATAGGAAGTGTATCGTTTTGAATTTTGCAGAAAAGAAATAAACATTTAACTGTTTCAGTCACATTTTCTTTGGTGTTCTGTGGCATGACACACACAGTACACGAACAATCACTAAGGAACCCTCAGTTTATGGTAGAACTATGTACTAACTGCCTCTTCCATGTTGACCTAATTTTTTTCTGCTGTTTCTAGATGTAGCTACTATCCCTTGCTTCTGGACCAGACAAAGAAAATGTTTACCTCTGTCTGTCCCCATAAAAATGCCTTCTCCCAGTGATAAAACCCAGAGCTCTAGAATTGTCCATGTGGAGCTCACAGCACTTGCCAATCAAGCTTTCTCCTCAAATAGACACTTTTTAATGTTGCAGATTCCATATCCTGGCTCCTATACTGTTCCTTCAAGTGTCTTGTTCCTTTTTCCACCCCAGAGTTAGGGGATTTAGAGAGGCACCCTTGGAACCCAGTTCAGGACGCAGATACACAATACTATAGAAGAAATGACCTATATAAACTATAGGCCATGCCCAGGGAGCTAGGCTTTCTTTGCAATTTGGGTGGTTGAGACATGTTTCCCCTTTGTATTCATGGTAGACTTTACATGCCTGGTTACTGATACCAATCAACATGCAACTGAAACAATAACTTATACCTAAACAGCCTTTGAATGGCTGATAGGTTTTCTTGGCTGCTGCATCTAACCTACTCTTAATATGGGGCTTACACACACATCTAAAACTATTTTAAATATCCCTTTATTGCTTAAAATGTAAGAGCTGTTATTTTGTTTGCAACTAAATATTTGAGTCAATCCGTGTATATGGTTTTGAGTCTCAAAAAAAAAAGGAAAGAAAGAAAAACGGGCTAGAGAGATGGCTCAGTGGTTAAGAACACTGGCTGTTCTTCCAAAGGACCTGGGTTCAATTCCCAGCATCCACATAGCAGCTCACAACTGCCAGGAACTCCAATTCCAGGACACCTGCAACCCTCACACAAATATACATGCAGACAAAACAGCAATGTGACACATGCCTTTAATCCCAGCTCTTGGGAGGCAGAGGCAAATGGATCTCTAAGTTAGAGGCCGGCCTGGTCTACAAAGTGAGTACCAGGACAGACAAGACTACACAGAGAAACCCTGTGTTGAAAAACAAAAACAAAAGTCAAACAAAAATATCCCCAACAAATAAAAAAACAAAAACCCACTTGTAAACTAGACAGTGGTAGTGCTCACCTTTGCTCCCAGTACTTGGGAGGCAGAGGCAGAGGCAGGTGTATTTCTGTGAGTTCGAGGCCAGCCTGGTCCACTGAGCGAGTCCCCAGACAGCCTCCAAAGCTATAGAGGAACCCTGTCTGGAAAAATCAATATACCAAAAACAAAACAAAACAAAACAAAATTTGTAATGAAGAAAAGGGTACTTCCTGCGAGACCATCTAAATAAATGATTCGTCTGGAATGTTTATATTACTTTTCATTCGGGTGAGGGAGAAAATATTGAGAAACATGTCAGATTTATCTAGATGTTATATATATATATATATAGTTTTTAAATATGTGATTACAAGTGGATAAACGTGGGGATATGTGAGCAAATGTTCTATTTGCTGTGTATAAGCAATAAAAATAATTTTGGAGATCTGGGGTCTGAGAGAACTCCTGTGGTGCTCTTCAGTGATGTTTTTAACCACTCGGTTCTGCGATGTGCGGTGTATTCCAGACTGCCATCTGGCGGTGAGTCCTTCCACCTTCAGTGGTGGGTTCTCAGGCGCGGTGTGGGAAGTGCCGAGGGCTGCGACGCCCCAGGGAGAAGGGAAAGTAAACCTCTCAAGAGAATGGATGAAAGAGAGGAGGGAACTCCGCCAGTCCAAAGGACAAAAGTCTGGCGGCAAAGAACCAAGGGAAATGTGAACCAGGTGAGCGCAGAGGAAGAGAGAAATAACGAACTGTACTCGAGGGTGCAGTGCCCTGTGGCGAAGGAAATCACCGTGACTCCGGATAGATAACCACGCAAGAGCACATTCACCATTGCAAACACAAAAGCAGGGGCGTGGGCTGGCTGGAGAAGCCGCTCTCATCAGCGTCCCTTTTGTCTGGAGCCAGGGTGGGGTCCTAACAGAGAATAACGGTTCTTTAAGGCTAACCTTCATCTCCCCGGAAAGAAGTGATCCTTAAAAAAAAAAAAAAAAAAAGAACTAGCTTCCTAACCACATTAAACAGCCCGAGACTCTCCCACACCGCGGGCTGTGATGTGATTTTCTCCTCTCTTGATCTCGTTCATCCTTGAAACAACAGCTCCCCTGGGGGAGTTCTGGTCGCCAAGACTGTTAGAGGAGAGCAGCACTTCTTTTGGTCAGCTCAAGGTCACTCCCTGTAACGTCAGAGGTGGCAGCTCCTGGGGACCACAGAACTGAACAATGACATTTATTCGTCTCAGTAGCAGTCCGTGTCCTTAATCGGCCTGGTGAGTGAAACAAGAGGGCGTCTTCGACTTGGGATGAGGTGTCAGGACTTTGGGATGCACCCGGGCACTGGGAGTAGGAGATGGAGGAGACTTACCACCAGGGTGTACCCCCCACACACACACGCACACACACACACACACACACACGCACACACACGCACACGCACACACACACGCACACACTTTCTGAGAAGCGCAGGGAGGACAAGATCAGTCCTGAAGACATTGATCTTCAGGGAGAAGAAAGGGAAGCCCGGTGCTCAGGAAGGGAAGGAGGGGGAGGTTCGAGATGACAGCCAGACCTAGCCCTCGAGGCCAGGCAGCCAGCCACTCTTAGAGACAGGAACCTCGTCAGAATAGCAAGTGGGGGCCGGGCGTTGGTGGCTCACGCCTTTAATCCCAGCACTCGGGAGGCAGAGGCAGGCGGATCTCTGTGAGTTCGAGACTAGCCTGGTCTGCAAAGTGAGTTCCAGGACAGCCTCCAAAGCCACAGAGAAACCCTGTCTCGAAAAACCAAAAAAAAAAAAAAAAAAAAAAAAAAAGAATAGCAAGTGGGAGTGGCAGAGGAGAGGGCTGGGAGGAGGGCCCTGCAGAGCCACCTTCAGAGCCCAGGAGCGGGGACGTTGGTGGCTTCAGGGTTCTGTGACAGCCCTGTGGGAGTGCGCAGGAGAGCGAGCCAGCTGTGCCTACAGGCTCCTGCCCGCCCACGAGTCAAAGAACAGTGACATCGATCCGCTGTGCGGGGGCTGGGGCAGGGCCCCGAGGACGTGTAGACAGCCTCTGGTTTGCCACATGAAGACAGGTCAAGAGACCTTTACCTGAGAGTGAGTGGCAGCTGGACAAGAAACCTATTATTTCTCCTGCTCAGCTCCACCTGGGTCCCTGGCGGTGGGAGTCATTGCTATGCAGGCAGGGTGCTGGATGTGCCCTCAGCACTCCGAGGTCTGTGACTTCTCCGGCCTCGTTTCTGTCTGGGCCAGGCAGCTGCGGGCTGCTGCAGTCACACCACCTTTACTGAGTGAAAACCACATTGCTGCTGGTTCTTTAGTGTGCCACACCACACCGAGGAGGGACGAGCACAGCAGGGTCAAAGCCCAAGGACACACAGCAGGAGGGAACTGTGCAGGGTCCGGTCAGCATCCATGGCACTTGGCCACCAGAGCCCAATCCACCCTCTTGTCTGCCCCCCGGAGTGCATAAATCAGGTTTTGTCAGGAAAATGGGGGTTTTAGACTCCATGTTCTCTCTAAGGTTGTTTCCATTCCCAGGGTTTGTTCTGGGAAGATGACATGAGCCAGGGCTCACCTCACAAGCCAGTGTCCAGGCTGTGCTCTTGCCTACAGCAGAGGAATCATAAATCCCCCATTCCTTTAGCCCGGGTGTCACTCCTGTCAGCCCCCAGAAGCAGACACAGCAATGGCGGTGCCTAAGCAGAGAGGCAAAGCTGGATCGGGGAAGGGTCTGACTGGGAGGAAACTATTGGTGTAGTAAAATGAATTATCAGGTTTACCCAATTCTATAAAATTGCAGCTAAAGAGCGATGAAATTATGGCCCACATACCCTGGAATAAATGACAGTAAAAACATGACTTGAGGCAAGTGGAGACACTAGTGATGACAGTGGAGCCCCCTGGTGACGACAGTGGAGCCCTTTGTCCTGCTTCTATTTGATTCAGAGCTAGACAAACATCCTTTAGAAAGAGACTCCTTTCTCTCTATCCTAGCCTCTGTCCCAACCTCAAATGACCTACTTGTTATCTCTCTCTCCCCCCCCTCTCTCTGTCTGTCTGTCTCTCTCCCTCCCTCTCTCCCTTCCTTCCGTCCTTTCTTTTTTTCATTGTATGGTTTTGAAAGGAGGCTAAAGAGACGTGTAACTAAAAAATGAATAGCCACCACAACTCCAAAACCAAGAAGCAGCATAGGTTCCAATACAAAAATTTCCTTAAAAATTAAGGAGAGCAAGTTTGCTATTTAAATCAAATATTCAGAAGTCATTGCTAGTAAGTTTATTGGTTTTGTTGTTGTTGTTTTGTTTCATTTTGGTTTTTTTGTTGTTGTCTTTTTGAGGTTTCAATTCCTACACAGGTGTCTTCATTATCATTACTTCTACACTGGGAAAAAAAGCAAAACCCCTTTGTGAAATTTACTGCACATATTTATGTAGAAAATATTTCTAGAAGCCTAGAATGATACAAGTGAGCACAAGAAGTTGGTCAGCTTGACTATGGAGTGTTGACAATAATCTCTGAACATTCCACAAGACTGAGCCGAGCCTAGGCTTCCTTGGAATCTGAACAGACATAGGAATGTGGGATTGCCAGTTGAGAACTGTGACCATCTAGTATGGACCTCAGATAGATCAGCCACGGCCTAACACCATTTCAAGGACAAAAATGATTTGGACTACAGCAATATAAATTGAACATAGTGTAATTTTTCCTTTCACTTGTCTGAGTGTATTTGTAAGCTCAGCAGAAATAACTTGACCTCATGTCTAATGCAGAGCTCACTGCATTCTTCCCTCATCCCTTTGCTCCCCTCCCCTTGCCTAGGCAATAGTGCTCTTTTTGTTTCAGAGATTTGAATGAAAATCTTCATGCCACAAATGTTTTTTTCTTCTGTAAGACACCTGTTTATCCTCTTATTTAAATGTAAATGTTCCTTTATGCTTTTGAAATAAATCTTTTGTAACTAAAAAATAATTTAGGGGAGACTTATCAGGAGAAGGTGATGTCATCGGAATAGATTCTCCAAGACTTTAAAAGCAGCTAGAAGCAGGCGAGGTGAAGGGCTCTACTTTTGTGGGAAGGCATCCTACTCAGGAATGCTAGGGATTTGGGATTACTTCCTATTAGAGGATTGGGGAGTTTTTACATTTGTTTTTCCTGAGGCAAAGGGATGGTGATTAGGTTGGTGGGGTCAGAGTGAGGAGACCAGGGGAGCCAGGAAGAGGAGCTAGAAGGGCCCACTGAGGCTGCACTAAGAGAACCCAGATCTGAGCTGCAGCATCAGGAGAGAAGTTAGTGAGGCTGCTGCAGTGGTAAGAACCCACGTCTGGCCCAGGTTCAGGGTAGAAAACCATGGCTGACCTGTGGAGGTGATGTATCTTTCCACAGCAAGAGACCCACAAAAACAAGCACGCATGCATACATAGATGTACACACACCCAAGATGTGGGAAGGGTTGGGTCAAAGGGAGACAGGAAATAGAGCCCAGAACTCAAAATTATAGTGAAGTCTTAAAACATAAAAATATTTCCACAAGAGCCAGAGATCTCTGGGCACCCACCTCAGCTGTGAGCATTTCCAACACTTTGGGCTTGCCGAGGGGTGAGGAGGGCTTCTATGAAGCTAGAGGTTGAGCTATGACACAATGGAGCAAAGAACAAGCAGTACAAGCTGCAACCGGGTTGGTCCTGGACACACCTCTGTGTTGCAGGACGTTTGTGCCCTGTGTGAAAGTGTATTGCTGTGACCGGTGAAATAAAAAGCTGAACGGATGTCCAATGGCTAGGCAGCAGGTACAGGCAGGGTCTCTGGGGAAAGAAAGGAAGAGGAGGAGGAATCTGGGCCAGCAGGAGATGCCAGGAGACAGAGAGGAAACAGGAGGCGCAGGAGAGATGAGAGGTAACGCCACATGACAGAACGTAGATAATAGAAATCGGATGATTTAAGTTACAAGAGATAGTTAGGAACAAGCCTAAGCTGAAGGCCAAGCTTTCATAATTAATTGTGTCTCTGTGTCGTGTGTGTGTGTGTGCATGTGTGTGTGTATGTGTGTGTGTGTTTGTGTTTGTGTGTGTGTGCGTGTGTGCTGGAGGTCAAAAGAAAAATCCATCTGCATCTCTGGAATTGTCCTGGAGAAGACACACTGGATCTCTCTTCTGTAACCTTCTAACCAGAAATGATCCAAGGGGCAACAGTGACTGTTACAATCAATCAACTAAATCTTCCTATGTATCATCCATCCATCCATCCATCCATCCATCCATCCATCCATCCATCCATCCATCCATCTGTCATCTATCTATCATCTATCATTTACCTACCTATCTGTCATCTATGTTAGCATACATGTTGGGTCCTTCAGGAGCACCCTTCGGCCATGCCCACTGTGAATCCAAGACAAGACAATTCAGAGACCAGCTCTAGCTGCCTTCACACATAAGCCTCCACTCAAGGAGGAGCACAGATCCAAGACTCAGTGAGGACATGCTTGCTGCTGTGCTAGGACACCTCGACTTTCCAACCTGACCAGAGAGCTCCCTCTGGTGGCTCTTTGGTGCATGTTCTTTTTCTTTTCAACTTTCAAATTTGAACTGAAGTAATGCCAAGACGACATGCCTGACTGGTAGAGCACAGATAGATTCTTTTGTTGATAAAAAACAGTGAGTGCTGATTATATTGAACCCTTCCCACATGCAAGATTCTAAGTGTATTGATTCTTCCAGTAACCACAGGAAGGTTCCCTAGCGAACCAAGATCACCTAGAAAGTGAGGGTGGGGCAGATCTGGCAGCTGACAGCAAAGTTGAACTTTAGATTCAATCACGCCCCCCACCCCAACCCTTAGAAGCGTGATCTGCCAGTATCTCTATCAGTCAGTCAGTATGAAATAAAGGGCAGTCCCCAGCCTCAGCCTCAGCAAGGAGCACTTAGATTTATTCACAAATCACCATTTTAGATCAGTTTTAGCCACACTGGCTGTCAAAAGCTGCTTTCCTTTACAAGCAGCCCCCTTAAAGGGGTTTGAAGCTGCATTTTGTTACTATTGTAAAAAAAAATCTAAGCCTTTTTTCTACTTACAGGTAGGTTTATGTAAGCTCCCTTAGATAAAAATGATAAAGATTGAATTATGCTTTCTTCTTTCTCCTCCGGAGAGTTTTTAGACAAACTTAATGGATTGTGGGACTTTTCGAAGTTCTCTTAAGTAGAGGCTTGACGTGGTTCTGTCCTCCCTCCCTGTAATCTGGAACATTAAATTCCTGAGGTTTGAAAGCAC